CTCAATTGCCATCTCAGCATGCCCTGGGGACGGGGCTGGCACAGCCCGCCCAAGGATTGAACCTCCCCCCGGGGCCCTGGGCCTGCTTGCAGGCTCTTTAATCCACTGAGCTATTTGGCCAGCCCAAAGAAGCATGAAACTTTATCTCTGTTCTTCTGAGCTTATACCTAGTAAGGACTTTTAGATGAATATAAATGAAATGCTTCAGAATCAACCTCTATAAATGGTGCATTTGTTAAGTAAGAACAGTAGGGGCTGAAAAACTTCCTGAATGACACAGAACCCATGCTGGCCTACGAACAATGAGTGAGATTTGGAAAGTTAAGAGAAGTATACATTCGCAGTAGTAGTTCCTGGGGGCAGTGAGAAGGGTGGAGACAGATCTTCAAGGTCGGCAATGATAAGCAGAACAATGTGCACTTGAGGAGCAACAAGAGAAGAAGGGGGAGTGTGAGCGAAACAGTCATGCACTCTGCAACGAAGGGATCCAACCAAGCTTGACACTCCAGACCCCTCACTTGTCAGGACCAATTGTCTGCTTTTGCTTAGACACATTTGACCCTCTTTTTTCTTTCCACATATAAGGCAAACAAAAGAAGCCTTTCAGTAATTCTACCATGTTGTTTTACAGGGATATTGAGACAAGCAAACATCAGAATGTGGCTTATGTGCAAGTCCCTGTAAATGGTGAAGTGTAAAAAGTTCATAAAGTTAATTTATTTAAATTTTTGAAGGATAATAGTAATGAAAATTAAACACTTTCCAGTTGTGGATTAGTTATCAGCTGCAGGCTGCTCTTGGGTCCAATACGCTTAAATATCGAGGATCACTATTTTGCTGTGCCCTAGATATCAATTTTCCATACTTCCCTTGAATCAACTCATCAGTCACCTAAGTGCTGACCGTACATGAATAGCAATTGTCTTTTGGTAAAGATACTAAGTTTTCTTCAGGTAAAAATAACTAGAAAGTAAGTAAAACAAAACTTTGCTTTCTAAAAATATTTGTACACATGCTCATTGGAAGTAAAAAACAGTTTCATAAGACAAGACTATTGCCGCTAGAATTCAGTGCTTGGGATCTGTTTTACAAATCTGGCATAGATTTGCTTTTAAGAGCAAGAATCATACTTTAAACTTAATAGTTCTCTTAACTTGTTTGGGGCTAGATATTTGTATTTCACTAAAAATGAGACTTAGATGTTAAATTCTGTTTGTAGCAACACTTGTGAATTTTTTTTTAAAAAAATTCATTCTACATGAAAGAATGATATTTAACAGAAAATTTCAATATTTTTCTGCTGAGATTTTTGAGGTGGAGAAAAATGGTGGCTGTATGTAATCAAACTTATGTCAGACACCTCTAATCCTATTAAGATACTGGAAACTCATTCAATAATCACTGTTGTTTTTTTCTTAATGGACATCCAAAACAATACAAATAATTGTGTTTTGCTTCTGCTTTGCTTCTTTTTTTGCCTTAATAATCCCCTGAAACTTGTAACAACTTGGTAATATATTGTAACCCAACACCTTGCATGAACTTGAAATTCATGTGACTTCTCCTTTTACATTTTATGGGAAATCAAATAACCTTTCGAGTATAATGAAATAAATGGGGACTCTGTCAGTATTTTATCAAGATATACCTAGTGGTAATTTTCTGTTGTCTACAATTCATGTATCTTATTAACACCAGGCAGGTGTTTTCTTCATGTAAAGATTTGCAAGAGCTAGCTGTTATCACACTTATTTCATGGGCATTAAATAGGGCTGCTTCAATTAAAGATCTGAGATTTCCAGTGCATTCTTTAGGAAAAGTCCAAAAAGTCCAAAAAGCTAAGTCGCAGAATTTATTAAAATCCATCCTCATTAGAAATGGGTGTATCAGATATATCTGGAAGGCAAGAAAACTTATTTTAAGTTAAATCTAAACTTCCAGATACTGCCAAAGCGGCCCTGTGCCTAACTTGGGTTACAGGACCAGGTCACTGGGCTACTTTGAATAACAAATAGCCCTGCCTTTTGGAGAAAATGAACGCTACTCAAAGAATGGATAATTTTATTCTTTCTTCTTCTAGTCGACTTTCCCCAATACTATGGTGTAAATCCTTAAATTAGGGCTCAATATTTTGTGACCCTTCAGTAGCTGGAGAAACCTGACAGTGACTCACCTGGGCCTCTGCAGTATTCTCTTTAAGGTCTTCTAGCCAAATAATCCTTCATTTTCCTATTCAAAAATGTAGACGTCCTTCTGAAGCCATTCGCATACCAGGGTGTGTGGCAAGAGCTCTGAGCAGGCCAACCCTCAGGCAGACCCTCATCATCCAGCCGCTCAGATCAAGGTCCTAGTGTATCCCGGGAACAAACAGGACTTGTGTTCACTAGAATTCCAACCAGACTCACTCACTGTGACCTTCACTGTCAACTCAGTGTCAGCCTCGAGATTTAGGTTTCATTCTGCCTGACTGTGATCTCAGAGGGAATGCTGTCAGCCCAGAAACCCAGAGTCTAAGTTGTCAAAGCCAGCTGGGAAAGAAAAAAGACTATTTACTTCAAATGCATATACTGCAATGTAAAGATCTGGACACAGAAAAGAATCAGGACATTCTACTAGTGACAGGAACAAGCCTCTAATAACCAGTTCCAGTGGCGTGGAGATGATATGACCTGCCTGAAGAAAATCCAAAACAGTCATCTTAAAGGAGCAATGAATACACAGAAAGAAGTAGAAAGTCAAGTGATACTAGGAAGGAAGTACAAAAAGAAGTGATAGGTGCAATACAGAACACTCACTACCAAATGGAAGCAATCAGCAATCTTAAAATTGAAGAATAAAATGACAGAACTGAAAAGCTTAATAGAATGGTCCAACAGTAGACCTGATCACGCCGAAGAAAGAACCTATGAATGTCAAGACTGGTCATTTGTAATTAGTCAATCATAAATACAAAAATAAAAATAATGTTTGAAAAAGAGTAAAGGAAGTATAAAACAAAATTAAGGAAGTAAAAAATATATAAGTTATGAACATACTAAACATGAAGGAGACAAATTGGAAGAGAACCTATTTAAAGGAATAGTTCAAAATCTTCCAATGTTGATAGCAATGTAAATATACAGACTCAGGAACTTCAAGGGACTCAAGCAAGATTAATTGTAAAAAGAATACTCAGAGACATATTATGACTAGACTGCCAAAAGCCAGAGCTAGAATCTTTAAGAGAGTAAGAGAGAAAAAATTTATCTTACATAAAGGGTCATAAATAAGCCTATTTAGAGACTCTTCAATTAGCAAAAACCTGGCAAGCCAGGAGAGAGAAGGATGACACATCCAAAGCGATAAAAGAAAAAAAATGCTAGTCAACAATAGTTGTGGAGGTAGCTCAGCAGCCTAAGCACCTGCCTAGACAAGTACTATTCAAAAGGGGGCATCTGAGACAAATATGCACTTCACAAATGACAAAAGAC